GATGGTAGTTTACGGATGTGCATCGACTACCGCGCACAGAACAAACAGACAGCACTGACTACAGCGCCAGTACTCATCCTACCGGATCCAGCCAGAGACTACGTGGTGGAAGCAGACGCTAGTGACCAAGCAGTCGAAGCAGTACTGATGCAGCATCACGAACGCAGTTTGCAGCCCATCGCCTACCTCAGTAAGAAGCTGTTACAGTGGGAGAAAGACTTAGCGGTAAGGAAGGGTTCAGGAAAGATTTGGGTACCGAATTACGCCCCGCTACGGCAGATCCTATTGGAGGAGTTTCACGACGTACGTTACGCGGGACATTTCGGGAGCAACAAGACGTTAGCAGGGATAGCGAAGTATTACTACTAGCACGGGATGGCAGCAGACGTGCAGCAGTTTGTCACCTCTTGCGACACGTGCCAGTGGATGAAGAGTAGCAAGCAGAAAAAAGCAGGGTTACTTCAGCCTCTACCCGTACCGGAGCAGCCATAGCAGGTCGTTAGCTTCGACTTCATCACAGGACTCCCTTCGACCTCACGGGGGCACGATTCCATCCTCGTAGTAATCGATAAGTTCTCCAAAATGGGTCACTTCATACCGACCAACGCCACAGCTACAGCTGAAGCAACTGCTCGCCTCTTCTTCGACCGCATCATCACCATCCACGGCATCCCCGCTACACTCATCTCAGACAGAGACCCAAAATTCACCAGTAAGTTCTGGAAGGAGCTCATGGGACTGTTGGGGACAAAGCTTGCGATGTCTTCAGCATACCACCCCCAGACTGACGGACAGACAGAGCGACTCAATCAAGTGGTTGAACAGTTACTACGCACAACTTGCAAGGACGACGTCAGCCAGTGGGACACACAGTTACCGACCCTAGAGTTCGCTTACAACAACACCTCACATGCGGCCACAGGGAAAACTCCTTTCTTCCTGTGTTACGGACGGGAACCACTCACACCACAGCAGCCAACCACACCGGCACACGTCCAAGCCGCAAATGACTTCTTCACCACCATGCAGCAGCTATGGGAGAAGACTCAACAGCGACTCACGACGATACAGACCTCCCAAAAGTAGTATGCCAATCGTCAGCGACGTGATCACTCAGTAGCAGTCGGAGATCAGGTGCTTCTTGACACGCGCAACTTGAACCTGTCTCACCTCCCATCCAAACTCCGGCCTCGCTTTTGTGGTCCTTTTCTCGTTGAGGCACATGTGACACCAGTAACATTCCGCTTGCGCTTACTAGATACATGGAACCTTCACAACGCTTTCCATGTCCAACTACTGAAACTCTACAAGGACCCCAACCAACAGTTCCAAGGACGGCAACTACCCCCACCACCACCTGTTCTCATACAGGATGAACCAGAGTACGAGATCGAGCGCGTTCTCTCTCATCGGCACCGTGGCGGCAAGGCCCTCAAGTTCCTGATACGCTGTAAGGGATACGACCCCACTGAGGATATTTGGGTTGCAGAAGTTGATATGGGCAACACACGCCGTGCTCTCAAGGACTATCTTGTCAAGCAGGGTGTATCTCACGCCACCCAGCTTTGAGGGGGGGACGTGTGAGAGTACGACGGCTTATGCTAGCTATGCTTGCTTGCCTTTACTTTATTATGCTATTTCTAGCATAGGATAATTATATGCATGCATGAATTGCTTGATTTCCTAGGCCATGTGCTTTCCTATATTTTATTATAGTTATAGCACCGAGCTAGGTTGCGTGCACCGAATTCTGGCTTTTCGGTTGCCACTGAATTGCCTTCTACCGAATTTGGGAAGGATCTGTTCGGGACGCTTCGCGACCCGCGGAACCTTCGAGGCCTATATATAGCCTTGTGTTGTACCCAGGTGATTCATTCAATTCGATTCAATTCACATTCTCTTTTTTTAGCTCGATCCTAGATCCTCCTAGATCCTCACATCGCCCGCCCGCCGCGTCGCGCGCCCTTTAGCCGCGTCGCCCGCCCTGCTGCTTCGTGCGCGCTGCTTCTGCGACGCCCGCCCTGCTGCGTCGCCCGCGCTGCTGCTGCGACGCCTGCCCTGCTGCGTCGCGCGCCCTGCTGCCGCCTTGCCCGCCCTGCGGCGCTGCGCGCCTTGCTGTTGCCTCACCCACCCTGTGTCGAACTTATATGCTATAGTCTTTGTAGGCTGTAGTGGGGTAGACAGTACGGGGTACAACTTTCTAGGGTTTCATATTTGTACCCAACTCATTTCCTATTTCATTCATTCCTCATTTCTTCACACCCTGCTGCGTCTCGCGCCTGCTGCCGTCTCGCCCGCCCTGCTGCGTCACGCTTCCTGCTGCCGCGCCGCCCGCTCTGCTGCGTTGCACGCCCTGCTGCCGCACGCCCTGCTCGTCGCGCTCCCGGCTGCCGCACGCTGTGCCTCACGCGTTACCTGTGCTAGTGCCCTCCTGCAGCGCGCCCTACCTGAGCCCTGCTCGCCTGTCGCGCGCCCTGCTTGCACACTACTCCTGCTGCTCGTCACCACCTAGCACTATGGCCACCCTTCGTGTTCTTTCCTTCAACACTGAGGGCCGCCCTGTAGAGTTCGACTCCTGGCTAGATGACTTGCAGCTCTACCTCATTAGCACCAGCAAAGACGAGATCTCACTCTTTGACCACACCTCCGGGGCCCTAGCCGCTCCTGCTGACATAGCTACCCTTAGCGAGCGCTCTCAGTGGCTGACGCGCAATGCTGCTACCCGCCTTGCTATTCGCAACCACTTGCCCCTAGCGGAACTCAAGCACTTTGGCGAGCACAAAACCGCTAAGGCCCTGTACGACGCTGTAGTTGCTCGCTACTCCTCTCCTGCCACTGCTCCGCTCAGCCGCCTCATGCTGCCGTACCTGTTCCCCGAGCTGTCGAGCTTTGCCACCGTAGCCGACCTCATCACCCACCTTTGCTCTAGTGACGCTCGTGTCCGTGCCACACTCCGCAAGGAGTTTGTTGCCCAGCACCCCCCTCTGATGTACTGGACGCTCCACTTTATAGCGACCCTCATCCCCGACAACCTTCGCTCAGTCAGGCACCACTTCCTAGCGCGCTGTCCCTCCGACCTTACCATAGACCTCCTAGAGGAGCACCTCTTAGCCGGTGAGAGTAGCATTGTTAGTGTGGCTGCTGCTCGTGGCGCTCCTCGCACCCCCATCTTTGAGGGGTGCGCTTCTTGTCAAACATTATATATGTTATGCTTGTGTAGGCTACAGTGGGTTAGCCTATAGGGGGTACACAATTCTAGGGTTTCCTACTTGTACTCATTTCACTGCTAGTTCATTCATTCCTGTTCGCTTATTCTCACATGGTATAGAGCGGGTCCTTCTACGGACCGTTTTTTTTGGGCCCACCGAAGCGCCCCCCGAGGCGCGATCTTTTTTTTTAGCGACCCCTCGGGTCGCCATTTCCCCTGCGGCCCCGCCGCCTTCACTGACGCGGCCCCGCCGCCCTCTCTGTCGCGGCCCCGCCGCCTGCTCTCACGCGGCCCCGCCCCGGCTCCTTCGCGGCCCCGCCGCCTGCTCTCGCGCGGCCCCGCCCCGGCTTCTACGCGGCCCCGCCCCGGCTTTCACACGGCCCCGCCGACGGCTTTGTCGCGGCCCCGCCCAGGCCCTTACGCGGCTCCGCCGCCTGCTCTCACGCGGCCCCGCCCCGGCTCCTTCGCGGCCCCGCCGCCTGCTCTCGCGCGGCCCCGCCCCGGCTTCTACGCGGCCCCGCCCCGGCTTTCACGCGGCCCCGCCGACGGCTTTGTCGCGGCCCCGCCCAGGCCCTTACGCGGCTCCGCCGCCTGCTCTCACGCGGCCCCGCCCCGGCTCCTTCGCGGCCCCGCCGCCTGCTCTCGCGCGGCCCCGCCCCGGCTTCTACGCGGCCCCGCCCCGGCTTTCACGCGGCCCCGCCGACGGCTCTGTCGCGGCCTCGCCCAGGCCCTTACGCGGCCCCGCCGCCTGCCCCCGTCGCGGCCCGGTCACCTCCTGACGGCCCCGCCGTCCCTTCCTGACGGCCCCGCCGTCCCCTCCTGACGGCTCCTGCCGTCCCCTTCTACCGGCCCCGCAACTGCACCTGCTGGCCCCGCCGCTGCACCTACCGGCCCCCCACCACCCACCCCCCCTTTTCCCGTCGCCTGTCGAGGCGACCTGAGAGGCCAGCAGAGGGGTGGCAGGTGTGTGGCCTCCCCTGCTTCTCCTCCTCCTTCATCTCCCCTGCAGCAGCCGAGCCGCCCCACAGCCGAGCCGCCCTGCCGCCGAGCCGCCGGGTCGCTGAGCTGCTGAGCTGCAGTTGCTGCCGAGCCGCCCTGCCGCCGAGCCGCCGAGTCACCGAGCTACTGAGCTGCAGTTGCTGCTGAGCCGCCTTGCCGCCGAGCCGCCCGAGTCGCCCGAGCCGCCGAGCCGCCGAGCTGCCGAGCAGTTGAGTCGCCGAACCTACTCTTCCCACCACTGGTGAGCTCTTGCCCTGCTAGCACGCTGCGCGTCGCCTGCTTGCCTGCCTGCCTGCCTTTTGGCTTGCCTGGCTGCCTGCCTCCCTGCTGCTAGTCCTGCTCCTGCTTCTACTTGCGGAGCCAAATGCAGCCCCAGCGACGCCGGCGTGAGTCCCTCACGCCGCAGCAGCTGCGTGAGTGGTACGCTGGTTGGGGCTGTAGGGGTGGCGACGCTACTCCTACTACCACTCCTGCTGCTTCTACTCGTGGTGGCGGCCAGATGCAGCTCCCGCGACCCTCTCGCGTGTCTCTCACGCCTCGCCAGCTTCGTGAGTGGTACGCTCAGAGTGGAGGGTCTCTCAGTGCTGTTCGCTGCTCTTACGTGATTCGCACTGGTACTCGGACTGGTCAGCCTTGTGGGACACGTAGTCATACACCGTCCCGCTGCTTCGCCCGTCTGAGCGACGCCTGGCGTACCGTGTTTGGCGACGAGGCTGAGCTTCCCGACTGGGTGGAGTTGCTTAGGCAGAGGGTAGATATATATGCTCTTGACTATGATGCTATTCTCACTGCCATGTATGCATTGCCTACTAGTGCTGACCGTGCAGGTCACCTGTGCGTCCCGCCTGACCCAGGTATAGGACCTGCTGCTCTAGCTACTGGTGAGGCTGCTGCTCTGGGTGCTAGTGAGTCTCCTGCTCCAGGTACAGGTGCGGCTGCTGCTCTAGGTGCTAGTGAGTCTGCTTCCTCAGGTGCGGGTGAGGCTGCGCTCTCAGGTACCGCGTTGGCTTCGGCCTCCCTCACCTTTACACTTGACTCTGGGGCTTCTCGCTCCTTCTTTCGGGACCGCACCACACTCACGCCGCTTGGTCGGCCGGTTGCAGTCTCCCTGGCTGACCCCTCTGGGGGTCCTGTCCTCGCTCACTTCTCCACTGTCCTCCCGTGTCCGGCTGCCCCCTCGGGCACCCTGTCTGGCCTGTACCTCCCCTCGTTCTCGACGAACTTGGTGAGTGGTGCAGACCTACAGGATGCGGGGGTTCACCAGTTCACTCCTGCGAGTCAGCGGGTGACCCACTGCACGGACGCACGCACAGGCCGGCACCTGGCCACGTTCTCGCGTCGGCCGGGGTCGAGCCTCTACACCCTGACCACTCAGTCTCCTCCTGTCCCCGCGTCCGGTCAGGTAGCAGCGTCGGGTCAGGTGTTTGCTGCTGCGTCCAGGTCTGGTCCTGAGTCTGCCCCCTGTACTTGTCGCCTCCTGTCTCACGAGACTCTCCTGTGGCACCACCGTCTTGGCCACCCCTCCTTGCCCCGTCTTCGGAGCATGGCTTCCCGTGTCCTTGTCTCTGGTCTTCCCCAGTCTCTCCCTCCTCTCCCCTCTGGGCCAGGACCTTCCTGTGTCCCCTGTGTCGAGGGTCGCCTCCGGGCTACTCCTCACTCCTCCCACTTCCCCCCGACAGAGGCTCCCCTGCAGACGCTTCACATGGATGTGTGGGGCCCAGCCCCCGTCCGTGGGCAGGATTACGAGCGCTACTTCCTGTTGGTGGTTGACGACTACTCGCGTTACACCACAGTCCTCCCCTTGCGCAGCAAGGGTGAGGTCACTGAGGTGCTGATCGACTGGATCCGCGAGGCTCGTCTCCGGCTCAGGAAGAGCTTCGGCTCGGACTTTCCTGTTCTGCGTCTGCACTCGGACAGAGGCGGAGAGTTCTCCTCTGGCCTTCTGCGTGCCTACTGTCGTGCGCGAGGCATCCGCCAGTCCTTCACGCTTCCGGACTCACCACAGCAAAATGGGATTGCTGAGCGCCGCATTGGCATGGTCATGGATGTCGCTCGTACGTCCATGATGCATGCGGCTGCCCCCCATTTTCTGTGGCCGTTTGCGGTGAGGTACGCGGCGCATCAGCTCAACCTTCACCCCCGGGTCTCTCGGCCTGCGATGTCCCCAGCCTTGCTGTGGACAGGGAAGGTTGGCGATGCGTCTGTGTTCCGTGTCTGGGGATCTCGGGCGTTTGTTCGCGACTTGTCTGCGGACAAGCTGTCCCCTCGTGCTGCTCCCTGTGTCTTCCTTGGCTTCCCCACTGACGCCCCAGGGTGGCAGTTTTACCACCCCTCCTCTCGTCGTGTTCTGTCCTCCCAGGACGTCACGTTCGACGAGTCAGTCCCCTTCTACCGTCTCTTCCCCTACCGCACTCCTTCCCTCCCCCCTCCCCCGGACTTCCTTGTACCGGTTCCCCCCCCGGTAGACCCCCTCCCCCCTCAGGTTCCTGCCCCCTCAGGTGTGTCCCAGGTAGACGCCGTTGACCCGGTCGAGGTTACAGGTGACTCTGGTGCTGCTGCGGGTGCTGAGCCTGGGGGTGCTGACTCTGGGGGTGCTGTGCGCGGGGGTGCTGAGCCTGGGGGTGCTACTGCTGGGGGTACTGGGCCTGCGGGTGCTACTGCGGAGAGTGCGGAGCCTGGGGGTGCTGAGCAGGGGGGTGCTGTGCCTGGAGGTGATGGGTCTGGGGGTGCTGGGTCGGGAGCTGCTGAGCCTGGGGGTGCTGCGTCTGGAGCTGCTGAGCCTGGGGTTTCTCCTGCTGCTGCGTCTCGCCGGGAGCCCCTCTCTCCACAGGAGCTGCGCGAGTGGTTCGCTCGCCGCTGGAGGCGTGCTGCTGAGTCTGGAGGTGCTGCTGGAGCTGGAGCTGGAGCTTCTTCGACCGTCGAGGGTGCGGGTGCTGCCGGTCCCGGAGCTACTGGACCTGCGGGTCCTCCTGGAGCTGGAGCTGCTGAGGGCGTTGGTGCTGAGCCTGCTGCTGTTGGTCCTGCCGCTGGAGGTGTGAGTGGCGCTGGTGCTGTCTCTGAGGGCGCTGGTGCTGTCCCTGCTGCGTCTGGAGCTGCTGAGCCTGGGGTTTCTCCTGCTGCTGCGTCTCGCCGGGAGCCCCTCTCTCCACAGGAGCTGCGCAAGTGGTACGCTTGCCGCTGGAGGCGTGCTGCTGAGTCTGGAGGTGCTGCTGGAGCTTGAGCTGGAGCTTCTTCGACCGTCGAGGGTGCGGGTGCTGCCGGTCCCGGAGCTGCTGGACCTGCGGGTCCTCCTGGAGCTGGAGGTGCTGAGGGCGTTGGTGCTGAGCCTACTGCTGTTGGTCCTGCCGCTGGAGGTGTGGGTGGCGCTGGTGCTGTCTCTGAGGGTGCTGGTGCTGTCCCTGTTGAGTCTGGAGCTGCCGCGCGGCCTCGGCCGTACTTCGTTCCGCTCCTACAGCAGGTTCTTGGTCTTTCTCCTTCGGTAGAGTGTCCACAGCCTGTCCAGTCGCAGTCACTGTTGGAGCCTTCCTCTCCTCTGCCTGCTCCCTCTCCTTACACTGGTCCTACTGGAGGTCTTGCTGAGCGTCGTGAGCCTGCGTCTCGTCCCGCGTCGCCTGTTCGTGCTGCTCGCGCTAGTGGTCGCGGTTCGCGTCAGCGTCCTCCTCCTGTCCTTGGCACGCACCGGATGTCTCTGCGTCCGTCCACTGCTCCTCTGCGTGCCCCTTTGCCTTCGCCTCCTGAGTCCTCTCTTCCTGTGCTTGCCGACCCTGAGTCGGACTCTCTTCGCGCTGCCAGTCCTACTGTCACGCGTCTGCTTGCTACTGTCGTCACTGACCCCTCTTTTGAGTCCACTGCTGCGTCTGCTCTAGTCGCTGAGCTCGTTGACTTTGCTGCTCGCTGTCGTCTCGACTACGCTGCTGGTCTTGTTGCTGAGTCTGCGTCTGTCTGTCCTCCGTCCGTCGGGGGTGAGTGTGCTCTTGGCACGGACGTCCTAGAGGACAGACAGGAGGAGTTACAGTGTCTAGCGGCTGCTTCACCTCATCTCGCGTCTGTACTGCTTGCCCCTGAGGGAGACCCGGATGCACTAGACATCCCGACTCCGCGTTCTTACGCGGAGGCCGTAGAGGGTCCCTACTCCTCTCACTGGCAGGCAGCTATGGATGCAGAGATGGCTTCCTGGAAGTCCACAGGCACCTACGTTGACGCAGTTCCCCCTCCTGGGGCGAACATCGTCAGTGGCATGTGGATCTTCCGGGTGAAGCGGCCGCCGGGCTCTCCACCTGTCTTCAAGGCGCGGTACGTTGCTCGTGGCTTCAGTCAGCGGCAGGGAGTTGACTACTTTCAGACCTTCTCTCCCACCCCGAAGATGACCACTCTTTGGGTGCTGCTGCACATAGCCGCTCAGCGCGACTACGAGCTTCACTCTCTCGACTTCAGCACTGCGTTCCTGCAGGGTAGCCTGCACGAGGAGATCTGGCTGCGCCGTCCACCTGGCTTCACTGGGACTTTCCCTCCTGGCACCCAGTGGAGCCTCCGACGGCCAGTCTACGGTCTCCGCCAGGCACCGCGTGAGTGGCACGACACACTGAGGACTACGCTTGCGGCTCTTGGGTTTGCTCCTTCTACTGCTGACCCGTCGCTGTTTCTGCGCACCGACACTTCACTACCGCCGTTCTACATCCTCGTGTACGTCGACGACTTGGTCTTTGCCACAGCGGACACTGCTGGACTCGCCTACGTGAAGTCCGAACTGCTGAAGAGACACACGTGCACAGACCTGGGTGAACTGCGCAGCTACCTTGGCTTGCAGATCACTCGGGACAGAGCACGCCGCACCATTACCTTGACTCAGTCACACATGGTGCAGCAGGTCCTTCAGCGCTTTGGCTTCACGTACTCCTCGCCTCAGGCCACTCCTCTGCCTACTCGCCACTCACTCTCAGCTCTGCCTTCGGATGAGTCCGTAGAGTCGAGTGGTCCGTATGCAGAGCTTGTTGGCTGCCTCATGTACCTGATGACCTGCACACGACCTGACCTTGCATATCCTCTGAGCATTCTTGCACGCTATGTTGCTCCTGGGAGACACAGACCAGAGCACATGGCTGCAGCGAAGAGGGTATTGCGCTACCTGTGCAGTACGTCGGGCATGGGGCTTGTGCTTGGAGGGCGGAGTCCAGTGGTCCTTACCGGCCACGCGGACGCTTCTTGGGCTGACGACCAGGCTACGCAGCGGTCGTCACAGGGTTACACCTTCAGCCTTGGTTCCGGCTCTGTCTCGTGGCGGTCTACTCGCTCGTCTTCGGTTCTCGGCTCCAGTTGTGAGGCTGAGATCTACGCCGGGACCATGGCTGCACAGGAGCTTCGCTGGCTCACCTACCTGCTGACTGACCTTGGAGAGCCGCCTCGTTCTCCTCCAGTGCTGTACGTAGACAACAAGGCCATGCTGGCCTTGTGTCGAGAGCAGCGCTTGGAGCACAGAACGAAGCACATTGCTCTCCGCTACTTCCTTGCTCGTGAGCTGCAGCAGCGTGGTCAGTTGCGACTTGCGTACGTGGCCTCTGAGGCCAACACTGCTGATGTGTTCACCAAGGCACTCGCGCCTTGTGACCATCAGCGCTTTTGCACCCAGCTGGGTCTTGTGCCTGTCTTGCCTCACTTACTCTCCTCTTGACTTCACTTGTACTGTGACATATATATATACCTGCTCTTGCTTGTCTAGTTTTATATATATGTCTGTACTCCTGCATGTGAACTGGCCTCTGGCCCTGCTCTTGTGCTCGGACTGTGTGGTGACTTTGTGATCCACCCTGAGCTTGCTTTGCTTTGCTTGACTGGTCTTGTGACCCCTTGTTCTCCCCCAATTTGCCTATGGGGGTGTGTCAAACATTATATATGTTATGCTTGTGTAGGCTACAGTGGGTTAGCCTATAGGGGGTACACAATTCTAGGGTTTCCTACTTGTACTCATTTCACTGCTAGTTCATTCATTCCTGTTCGCTTATTCTCACACTTCTTCCCCTCTTGCCCCCTCCTACGCCACTGCTGCTGCCGTAGACTTCTTCAGAGCCGACTCGATTGGTGCTGCCTCCGCTTCTACCGGGCGGCGCCGCACCGGCAAGGGCAAGGGGGGCAAGGGCGGTGGTGGCGGTGGCGGCGGAGGAGGAGGTGGAGGAGGTGGGTGTGGCGGTGGGAGTGGAGGCAGTGTAGGCGGGGGTGCTGGTGGGAGTGGCAGCGGCGGTGGGGGAGGTGGTGGTGGTGGCGGCGGCGGTGGGAGTGGAGGTGGTGGCGGTAGTGGCGGTGGTGGAGGCAGCGGAGGCGGTGGCGGTCGTGGTGGAGGCGCTGGTCAGAGACAGCAGCAGCAGCGGTCCCTTACGCCTCAGCAGCTTCATGAGTGGTTGGCTCAGAGGGGTACGTCTGGGGGTACTCGCTGTCCGTATGTCATTCCCACCGGTGAGCGTACTGGTCAGACATGCGGCAAGCCCCACCCCCAGCAGCGTTGCTTCTCCCGCCTTGACGACGCCTGGCGTGAGGAGAAGGGTGCAGAGGTTGAGACCCCTCGCTTGTTTGATCTGCTTAAGAAGGGTGTAGACATCTTTGCTCTTGACTATGATGTTATTCTTGCTGCCATGTATGCATTGTCTATTAGTGCTGAGTGTGACTGCTACCTGTGTCTGCCGCCGGATCCAGGTATAGAACCAGCAGCTCTTGGTGCTTGCGAGTCTACGCTCTCAGGTACCGCGTCTGCTGCCTTAGGTGCGGGTGAGTCTGCTCTGTCAGGTACTGCGCCTTCTACCTCCTTGCACACCTTCACTCTTGACTCAGGTGCTTCCAGCTGTTTCTTCCGTGACAGCACAGCCCTCACACCGCTCCCTGCACCAGTTGCAGTCTCCCTGGCTGACCCCTCGGGAGGTCCAGTCCTTGCACGGTCTACCACTGTGCTTTCTTGCCCAGCGGTCCCGTCTGGTTCGCTGTCAGGTCTCCACCTCCCCTCGTTCTCTACGAACTTGGTGAGCAACGCTGTCCTTCAGGACTACTGGGTTGATTCCTTCACCCCTGGAGGACAGCGTGTGGCGATCTGTACGTGCTCAAGGACTGGGCGACACCTGGCCACGTTCACGCGTGTGCCAGGGTCGAGCCTTGACACACTGACCACTGTGTCTCCACAGGTCGCTGCTGACGGTCAGGCGTCTGCATCAGGTCAGCTAGACTCCCCTTGCTCGTGTCACTCCCTGTCGCAACAGACCGTTCTCTGGCACCACCGTCTGGGCCACACCTCCCTGCCCCGTCTTCGTGACATGCACCGTCACATCCTTGTGTCTGGTCTTCCCCGGACCCTGCCTCCCCTCCCTGCTTCGCCTGCCCCGACCTGCCTTCCTTGCGTTGAGGGGCGGCAGCGTGCCGCTCTTCACTCCTCCTTTTTTCCTTCGACAGAGGCTCTGTTGCAGACTCTCCACATGGACGTGTGGGGCCCTGCTAGCGTCAGCGGACGGGGTGGAGAGCGGTACTTCCTGTTGGTAGTTGACGACTACTCACGTTACACCACGGTCTTCCCCTTGCGCACCAAGGGTGAGGTCCCTGCTATCCCGATCCCTTGGATCCGAGCGGTTCGTCTCCAGCTACGCAGGAGGTTTCACACCGACCTCCCTGTTCTGCATCTACACTCTGACAGGGGCGGAGAGTTCGCCTCCGACCTCTTGTGTGGCTTCTATCAAGAGGAGGGCATCACCAAGTCTTACACGCTTCCGGGCTCACCTCAGAAAAATGGGGTTGCTGAGCGCCGCATTGGCCTGGTCATGGAGATCGCTCGTACCTCCTTGATCCATGCGGCGGCTCCCCATTTTCTGTGGCCGTTTGCCGTCCGGTACGCCGCACAGCAGCTCAACCTCTGGCCCCGTGTCTCCATTCCGGAGACCTCGCCCACACTGAGGTGGACGGGGGAGGTTGGTGATGCGTCGGTGTTCCGGGTCTGGGGTGCCCGTGCTCTTGCTTGCGATACGTCCTCGGACAAGCTCTCCTCCTGCACCCTTCCCTGTGTCTTCCTCGGCTTTCCGACTGACACGCTTGGCTGGCAGTTTTACCACCCCGCCTCGCGTAGTGTCCTGTCTTCTCAGGACGCCACCTTTAACGAGTCAGTCCCTTTCTACCGCCTCTTTCCCTACCGCACTACCCCTCTCCCTCCCCTGCCGCTATTCCTCGCTCCAGGTCCCCCTCCGGTAGACCCCCTTCCCCCCCAGGGTCCTGCTCCTTCAAGTGTGTCTCAGGTAGACCCACCCCCCTTCGCTGAGCCTGTCGAGGTCACCAGCGACTTAGGTGCTGCTGAGGGTGGTCCTGCTCGAGGTGCTGCGTCTGGAGGTTTTGAGCCACGGCGTGAGGTACTGGAGGGTGCGGGGCCTGAGGGTGCTGAGCCGGTGCATGAGGTGCTGGAGGGTGCGGAGTCTGGGGGTGCTGTGCCAGTGCGTGAGGTCCTGGAGGGTGCAGAGCCTAGGCGCACTGAGATGGAGGGAGCTGGACCGGTTTCTCGCCGGCCCCTTACACCAGAGGAGTTGCGAGAGTGGTTTGCGTTTCGTCAGCTACTGCAGAGGCGTCCTGGATTTGGCGGTACTACAGCTGGAGCTGGAGACACTTGTGCTGCTAACACCACAAGCCCTAGAGGTGCTCGTACTGGAGGTACTCGAGCTGCCGAGGCCGGTAGTGTTGGAGGAGGTCCTGCTGTAGACTCTGGCACTAGAGGTACCGGGTCTGGGGGTGCTGCTGCTGGAGGTACTGGAGCTGGAGACCCTCGAGCTGCTGGTTCTGTTCTGGGGGTGCTGCTGGAGCTGGAGCTGCTGGAGGTGCTGCTAGAGCTGCCGATGGAGCTGGTGGAGCTGCTGGAGCTGCTGGTGGTGCTGCTGTTGGTGCTGCTGGTGCTGGAGCTGCTGGAGGTGCTGCTCGAGCTGCCGGTGGAGCTGGTCGAGCTGGTGGAGCTGCTGGTGGTGCTGCTGTTGGTGCTACTGGTGCTGGAGATGCTGGAGGTGCTGCTGGAGCTGCCGGTGGAGCTGGTGGAACCGTTGGAGCTGCTGGTGGTGCTACTACTGGCGCAGCTAGTGCTGGAGCTGATGGAGGTGCTGCTGGAGCTGCCGATAGAGCTGGTGGAGCTGCAGGTGCTGCTGGTGGTGCTCTTGCTGGTTCTGGGGGTGCTGAGCGGCCGCGGCCGTACTTCCTTCCGCTCCTTGAGCAGGTTCTTGGTCTCCCGCCTTCTCCTAGTCCACCCCCTTCCTTGGAGTGTCCACCGCCTGTCCTATTGCCGTCACAGCTACAACCCACCTCCCCGCTGCCTGCTCTGTCTCCTTACGCTAGTCCGACAAGAGTTCTTGCTGAGCGTCGTGAGCCTGCGTCTTGTCCAGTGTCGCCTTTTCGTGGTGCTCGCGCTAGTCGTCGTAGTTGTCGGAAATACTCTGCATGGCCCCTTTCTCCTGACTCCCGCCGGCAATGCCTGTAGCCCCCTGGGTCTCCCTTCCCCTCCCCACTTGTCTCTCCTTGGACTCTCCCCTCCCCCCCCACTCTCTCTTGTTCTTGCTATGGGGTACTACCAGCGCCCTAACTGCTGTATACTGTGTGCCGTGTGGCAGCGTTCCAACGTGACACCTCACTGGTCAGAAAATCTCCTTCCCACTACTGGCTGACAAGCTGGTTCCCTAGCGGGCTCATGACTGCCTGTGACTGGGTTAACAGGATTACATTGGAGCAAACGGGAAACATACAACGAAGCAGCCAACACTAGGGTTTTAGCTCTGCTATGTATAAGACAACCTTGCTGCCCTAGCCTGGCGCTTCTAGCAAGCAAACATCACATGGGCGAGGCTCGGGGTGCCGAGCCATATTTACAAACCGCAGGCGCTCTGAATCTGCATGGGCTCCAGCGCAAGCCCTTCGCCAGCTGCAAGCTTGGCGTGCATGTTCAACTGCAGCTTCTGCCACCTGTCGGTTGTGCTGTGCTTATTCGCGTCAACAGCTCTCGCCCTGCACAGGATACAAACGAAACATACACCCACCCCAACTCATACACCCACCATTCTCATGCATGCATTCTTAAGCGTTATTTACAAATATGTACACCCACCCTTCTTCCCTCCGCCCTTTTAGATTCAGCTTCTGCTACATCCTCCCACTCTCCCTGCTGCCAACTCTTGGCGCTGTCTCGGTTACTATGCGGCCCTCTTGGCTACATAAACCGCGACAGCTGTCGGAAATACTCTGCATGGCCCCTTTCTCCTGACTCCCGCGGGCAATGCCTGTAGCCCCCTGGGTCTCCCTTCCCCTCCCCACTTGTCTCTCCTTGGACTCTCCCCTCCCCCCCCACTCTCTCTTGTTCTCGCTATGGGGTACTACCAGCGCCCTAACTGCTGTATACTGTGTGCCGTGTGGCAGCGTTCCAACGTGACACCTCACTTGCCCCCTCTGGAAGAGACTAGGGCTCCTGCTGGCTCTGATCCAGACCACTCAAACTCCTACATCGCGCCCTTGCTATATTCGTGGTGTGGTCCTGGACCCTCCTACCCTGCTGATTCTCCAGCACCACCACTCCAGACTCTCGGACCTCTACCACTCTCCAGCGTTCCTCGCTGAGGCCACGGTCCAACGTGTGCTGCCGCGCAGTCCTGCGATACACTTCCTGCCCTTCCTGCAGCTGCC